GATGGATACCACCCCCTTCTCTAGCTGGTGATGATGGACCGCCCCCCGTTCTTGTGTACGACGAGAAAATCACACGAGCCAGCCAATGAACAGACGCACGAGCCTACTGCAGGTACTTTTGTGCAACCTTCACAAAAAACTATTTCACCTCCAACTCTAGTAGTTGGATCAACTAGTTGATTGGTAGTGTATAGACTAGTTGTCCAGGGTGTGCAACCCTCCCCGACCGAGGACCTTTATTCAGAGAAGTTCGCACTTCCCTTGCGAGGGCCCGATCTGATGCGGGCGTCCGCCTCAAACAGCTGTGAGGGATTAGCGATGTGCATGACAAGACGCCATCCGCCACGCCGCTTGACGTTGGTGTGCGACCTATCTCAGCCGGTCCCCTTATGCCTTGATTCTTGCGAGCGGGTGCTGCACGTGGTCGGGGCTGTTGTCATTTTTCAGAACTGCTTTTTCGGAAGAGCTCGCACTTGCCTTGCGAAAGCCCTATCTGACGCGGGCGGCCGCCGCAAACAGCTTAAGCATGAGACGCAACCAGCAAACCCGGTCAAGGTCGGCGCACGGCCTGTCTCTACTTGTCCCTGGTGCTTTGTATGCTTGCGATTGTGTGTTACTCGTGATCGGCAGTGTAGCTTCTTTTTTAAGTGAGGAAACCTCAGAAAACCCCCGCTGACAGATAGCTGATCTGACGCGGGCGTCCGCCTCAAACAGCTGTGAGGGATTAGCTATGCGCATGACTAGACACCATTTGACCCGCCCGTCAACGTTGGCGCGTGGGCTGTCTCAGCGGGTTCCCTGGTGCTTTGATTCTTGGGAGCTTGTGTAAACGTGACCGGGGCTGTTCTTTTTTTGCCAGAAACGCATTTTCGGAGAGTTGGTTGTTGAGCAAATCTTGCATCTGACGCGGGCGTCCGCCCCAAAAAGCTAAAGCATGAGACGCAGCCAGCAACTCCGGTCAAGGTCGACGCACGGCCCGTCTCTACTGATCCCTGGTACTTTGTACGCTTGCGATTGTGTGTTGACCGTGATCGTCTATGCATACGTAGCTTTTTTTCCAGCACCGCTCTTTTTAGTCAGGCAACCTCTCAGATAAACTCTCTCCGACCGACGAGCTTTCTCGGCAAAGCTTGCACTTTCCTTGCGAGAGCGCGATCTGACGCGGGCGTCCCCCTCAAACAGCTGTGAGGGATTACATAGCTATGCGCAGACTATACGCCATCCGACGTGCTGGTCAACGTCGGCGCGCGGCCTGTCTCAGCTGGTTCCTTTGTGCTTTGATTCTTGCGAGAGCGTGCACACGTGATCGGGGCTGTGTTCTTACTTTGCCAGAAACACATTTTCGGAGAGTTGGTTGTTGAACACATCCTGCATGAGCTCCATCTGACGCGTGCGTCCGCCGAAAACAGCTAAAGTATGAGACGCAGCCAGCAACCCCGGTCAAGGTCGGCGCACGGCCTGTTTCTACTGATCCCTGGTACTTTGTGCGCTTGCGATTGTGTGTTACACGTGATAGGCTGTGTAGCTTCTTCATAGGTTTATTGTGTTCTCTTATCCTCCCACTGAACATCCCGCAAACTTCCGCAAACCGTAAAATCCTCATCCCAGGCCCACTTCCGCGATGGCATCGACGGACCGTGATGCATTGGTCGCCCTTTACAACGCGACCGAGGGGGGACGCTGGAGTACAAACAGAAACTGGAATACTGGTGCCCCCCTCTCGCAATGGCACGGAGTCCATGTCAACGACCAAGGTCGCGTGGTGGCACTTGAACTGGCCGAAAACAACCTGCAAGGTATTTTTATCATGTTCACTTAATCCGTAGAGCCTGTTGCCGTCGTGCAATATGCTCGACCTTTCCTGAGAATTCCTTGACCGATAGTGGCCCTTTCATAAAGTTGCAAGTTTTACAACAGGCTACGACGTTTCAATTTCGTACGTACCCTCGTTCTGCATGCGGTCCACGCCTGAGTATCCTCGTACGTCAACTCGCCACAGTAAGAGCATGCCGTGCGCACAATGCTGCTATTCTCGTCAAGGCCAATCGATACCGCAATGTTTCATCTCATTACACATCCTCCACCTGTACACCAAATCGACTTTCCTGGCTTTTAGATGCCTCTGGTAAGAGGGCGATCTTCGGTATCGCTTCTTCTGCAGGGTTCTGATGCGGCGTATGTTGTACTCCGGAGCATTCTCGACGACGAATCCGTCCGCACGGGCCCAGTAGGCTTGGTGGTTGGTTTCCTTGCGGAGATCCATCCGCGGTCGTTCGTTGCACCCATGACTGACAAGCGATCGCAAGTGCTGTGTGGTGTGGGAGTAATCGTGTGGCGTCTTATGGAAAGGGTATGATCTAGACGTTGGCGGTGTCTACGGGGCAAAAAAAATCAAGAATAACCCGACTTCTAGAACACCTTATCGCCTCTAACACATGCAGCTGGCACGGTGTAAGGATCTGCAGTCCTCCAAGATGCCCTAGCTCGAGTGGGATGGGGACCGCAGTCCAAGTATTTCGCACAATTTTTCAGGGAGTGGGGCGTTCAAAAGCAACAAGCGGGAAATAAGTAAAGAAACAACCCGCTGCCTTATTTTCGAGACAACTGGTCTCCGTGGATCTTGTCCCGCCCAACTAGTAGGTTGCATCGGCGAGTTTCATCCAGAATCAAGGCAAAAAAATATTGAAACGACTGCCAAAATACTTTAGCTTACCTGTGAGCTTGTTGTCGAGCGACAGCTTCCGCAGCTCTCGGAGATCTCCAAGCTCCGGTGGGATGGGGCCTGCAAGCAGAAGAGCGAGATCACCGGGGAAAAAACAATATAGTTCCCCGCTTTCGAGAACGTGCGCGGGATTCATGCTTCAAACATGAACTGTTGAACAAACCCACCGGTTAGCTGGTTATCCGAGAGGTCGACTTTAACCAGTGCGGCGAGCTTTCCAAGCTCCAGGGGGATGGAACCTGGAATCGGAAGAGAGAGTAGCGGGAGAAAATAAGTTTAAATGCCCCGGCTTTCGAGAACACACGCGTAGCAAAAGACATCCCGCGAGTTCCCAAATTGCGAAATTTCGTACCCACCTGCTGCGTACGCGTACGTACGCGTCCATGCGTAGGTGAGTAGGTGTGTTCTAGAAAGCGGGGAGATTTTTTTTTTTGCCCCGCTCAGCTATTCTGTTCCCCCTGTCCGTTCTCAGGTCACATCCCACCGGAACTAGGGGCTCTCAGCGAGCTGCAGGAGCTGTGGCTCGACAGCAACAAGCTTACAGGTACGAATTACATTTTTCACGATACATTTGGCGGTTGTTATAGTTTTGTCATTTGATGATGCTGTCAAACATCCCGTGCATGTAGTTGGATGGACGCGTATGCGTTGGCAGGACCGTTTTTCTAGACGCCGGGGGATAAATTTTGTTTTCTCCCGCCAAGTTATTTTTATATTCTTCTGGCAGGCACCATCCCGGCGGAGCTGGGCAAGCTTGAAGCACTGAAGACGCTCGACCTTGAACACAACAAGCTAAGCGGTAAGAAGCAGTTACATCGCAATCTGATTTCTCCTGATGGTCTTGCAAAAAAAATCATGAGTCCTGTGTACGCGTACGCGTCCATGCACGATTCTACAGAAGACGAAACAGTTGAAATTCTTGTTGCGCTTTCCTTACCTGAAAGCTGGTTCCTGTGGAGCCAAAGCTCTTGCAATTCGCTCAGGGCTCCGAGTTCCGTGGGTATGGGCCCTGCACATGAGGGCCACACAGCAAAAAAACCCCATCAGAGCAAGCATTTTATCCAACTTCTAGAACATAGGTCCCGCGAACGTGTGTGGATGCGTACTTATGCGCGGGATTCATCTTCTAGGACCCAGATCGACCCGTTGTTTGTTCATCACCTGCGAGCTTGTTGTTGCTCAGCCAACGGGATTGCAGCTTACTCAGCACTCCCAGCTCGTTGGGGATGGGTCCTGTGCAAACGATACAGCGAGGAAAAATACATCGGGATTCATTTTTCAATATCATCGATCCCGGAACGTTTATGGACACGTACAGCGAGGAAAAATACAACGGGATTCATTTTTCAATATCATCGATCCCGGAACGTGTATGGACGCGTACGCATCGACGAGGTTCATCAGGATCAACGCTATTTTTTTTTTTGAAACCACTTGAAAAAAAAAAAGTTACCTGTGAGCTGGTTTTCGTTGAGCCACAGCGTCTGTAGCTCTCGGAGATCTCCCAGCTCCGGCGGGATCGCGCCTGGAGCAAGTGCAAACAGGGTTCAGCAGAAAGTTAAGGAGGAAAAAAAAAAATCCCCCTTTCGAGAAGTATGTGTCCTCCCAATGCGCTGTCTACTGTGCGCCCCACATACTTCACACCATTTGTCAGCTTGACTACATATGTAGCATAATTGGTAATAGTATTGTCACGGGGGGGGGTGTACTCATAGTCGTGCATGCCGTAGTCGTTACACCATTGACCTCGCATCCCTACAAAGCCGGGACGGAGCACGCCGGCTTCTCACCGGACCAGGCTCTCACGTCACCAAGCGCGAAGCGCCGTGAGATATTCGGCGAGTCGCATGAAGGNCAGTTGTAAGCACTGTGTAATTGCCTCGAGGGTGCTTGACCATTTCAACACAACGTGGTGCGATCATCCCCCTTGCGCGGAGTGAGGCTTCTCGACCCCGCACAACATGATCTACTCGACCAGCATTATGGTTACCGCAAAAAACAAACGGAGGTG